CTCTCCTCTCTCTCCTCTCTCTCCCTCTCTCTCCTCTCTCTCTCTCCTCTCTCTCTCTCTCTATGCTACTGGATGCAAGCATCCTGCTTTTTATTATTCTATAAAATCCTCTCTCATTCTCCCCCTCTACGCTTGTGTGGAACCCTATGATATGTTCTCTCTCTCTATGACAAGTTCTTTCAACCCAATGATATGCTCTCTCTCTCTCTCTATGAGATGTTCTTTCATTTACTCTCTCTGTTCCAGATGAAATGTTCAGTAGGGTATTTTTGCACTTGCACTGACTACATTCTTTTAACCAAGTTTAATTGCACCTCAAAAATTTGCAGAAGGAAAGTGGGCTGCCTGCTTTCTAGATATTTATTCTGGTTTTTTCAAGAAAATAATATTTTCTTTGGTGGTTAACAATATATTTATTGAAAATTTCAATGCGCAATTCATTTTTCTCTGGAGAATTTCATATTTTTTGTTTTTATTTTTTGAGAAAATGATTTTTTTATCAATATAAAGTTTTTATCGCTTTTCCTATGTGCATGGTTTTTATGAACCCAGCCACTGTTGTTCCATTTATGAACAAGTTGTCTTTCAACAACTCTTTGTCTTCTTTGGCCTTATCTTTCAACAACTCTCTCTCTCTCTCTTGTTTTCCATAGAACTCGGTGAAAAACTCTACATTAACTATCGAGATCACCATCCTTCCTCAAATTTTTTAATCGGAGAAAGAGGATCCCCCTCTCTCTCTACAAAACTGCACCTTTTTCTTCTCTCTCTCTCTCTCTCTTTACTGGGAAACGCAGTTACACCTGAGTAGTGGACCAGTAAGTCTTGTTCAATTAAGAGAGAGAGAGAGAGAGAGAGGAGGGGGATGCATTTTGTGTTAGCACATGTTTCAGTACATAAAATTGAATAGCAATGAATCTCTCTCTCTCTCTTAATGCGTAGAGTCCACTGAAACCCTAGAGAGAGAAAGAGAAGATTGAGAAAGAGAATGCAAATTGTGTTAGCAAGAGTTAACATTAAATCATAGAGTTGAAGAGAATTCTCTCTCTACTTTCTCTTTCTAGTCTCTCTCTCTCTCTCTACTTTCAAATTTATTTTCCACGACCAGCGGTTGCCCAAACACACGTCCTAGTTTCCATGGAAGGGTCTTCAACTTGCATGAAATTCCATTGTTTCCTTTCCCCAACTCTGATTGTGCCACGTGGAAGCAAGTATTGTGTGGGATTTGCTCCTTCAAATCACAAAATTTTGAATTAAATATTAAGTGGACCAGAAAATTTGATGTCAAACTCATGCTTCTCGTCCCTCTCTGTCCCTTTTACGTGACTCTCGTCAATGTTTCTTTGTTTGTTTCCTCCTCTTGTGTGATTTTTCTTTTTGTCTTTTTTATTCATCTGTTGAAAATTCCTTCTACATTGGATAATATCACTAAAAATAGCCAAACAAATAATTTTTTATTGTTCGTCGATTTAAATGAGGATCGGTTGGGAGCAATATAGATCCCGACCTGGTTCCTCCTTAAAATTTCCCCTTTTAATTTTGAAAAATAGTTTGATAGAGCTGCAGCCTTGTTAAAATGGTAAAACCTCACTTCATAACTCATCCAAAATTACAATTCAAATGTTAAAAAACATTTACACTAATCGTCTCAGAATGAACATTATGGTCATGAAAAGAGATTAGGATTTTAAGCTTTAAAATTAGTATATATTGTAATAAATTATCTAGACTGTTCCATTTTGCCTTAAAAATAAGTGCTCATAGATCCACAAGATCTGTACCCTTATTTGAGTTTGAAGTTTTATTGTTACTATTTAAAATTGATTTTGGATCCATCATGGATATTTTTGTTGCCGAAAGTGCTTTCTAGACAAGGATTTGAGGTGGAGCTTTATTTTATTTTCATAAAGCCTAGGCCTTATAGAACTTTCTCATTTAATTTTTATTTTATTTTTTACTTTTTTAAGCTTCTCTAGTGTTTTTTCAGGTTCCCTAAATCCCCATCCCATTAACTCCTACTTTATTTTTTTATCGTATTCTATTTATCTTAAATATATTCTGGATCACCGATCCGGTTTGCTACTCTAGTGATTCAACATAAACCTATGTGGTGAATGATCCACCCCACCAATCTGGGTTTTGAGAAATTGAATAAATCAATGAGATGGTTAAATTAATAAAAATCCTTTCATAGTGATACCTCAATATTTTTTACTAAAAAGCCCCAATTATCCTGTTTTGGTTGAACAAGTGAGGATATTCGATAATTTGGTTCACTTTAGTTGATGAGAAGAACAAAATGAACTAAAAACCTTTTCTTGTTTAGGACTCTAAGTTTGAAATAATTTTTTGGTTGGGAATATTTTTTCTTGGAAGTAAGTGTATCCAGGTCACTGACTTGAATAGTTTAAGTGGTTAAATTAAACCATGAATGGCACTAATGACTTGAAGAAAATTTTATGAAATAAATTGGAAGATCAATAGAGAAAAAGTGGGGCAAATCTCCCCCAAAAAAAGTTGGGGGGACGTTTACATTCCCGATGTATAATATCCTCAAACATATACGAAAATAGAACATTAAAAAGTCATTTTTAGGGGATTATATGCTACAAGATTATTCACAATTAGTACAAGGAGGCCACAATTACTTTTAGTCATTAGTTGTTAAATCCAACAGTTTGGGATGCATTGAAATTTCAAAAAAAATATATTCATATTTCATGCTTAGTCAATGACACATTTCAAGCTGCTCAATTTTATATCTAGTGGTTAATAATAATTATGACAAAAGTAAACGAACTTATTATATATCTCATCTTTTCATTTTATGTGACATTTTTCTAAATTAATTCACAAAAGAAAATAAATTTTACCTGGTCAATAAAATATTAATTAATAGTTAATAAATTATATTGGTGAGGAGAAGCGGGTCCCACCTTGAATTTTTCCATATATGTATTGGGAACATACATTTTCTTTTTTTTCTTATAAATTAGAGAACAGTGGAGATTTGAGAGACATAGGTGTGCTCTCAAATCTTCAACCGTCCATTGAATTATTTTCAAATCCAAAATACCCATAAAAAAGCACATGCTCTGAATTATTTTCAAATCCAAAATACCCATAAAAAAGCACATGCTCCTGAGTTGGTATAGTCCTGGGTAAAGTATTAAATAGTTAATCTCTTATGGGTATTTTCGTAAAATTTTCCTACTCTAATTTTTTGAAGGCTTTGTATTCTCTGTTATCCTTTTTTATTTGAGCACATATACTATGCTCCCGTAGGAGCATACTATACATCTACTCTCTGAAGCAAAAGACCTACTTGAAAAAAAAATTTATTTATTTATTTTATTAGTCTGAGATTTTGGAAAGTACTTAAGAATTACTGGATGATTATTTTCAAAAGAAAAAATTTGTATTTTTTTAGTATTTTGACACTTGGATCGCACCCTTAAAACATTGGACGGTCTCTATGCAATCAAGAGATAGTTCTTCAGTAGAAAGAGATTTCAATTCGGATTTTTTTCTTATAGTTAGTTTATGCCTTGGATTGGTTACATGTCCAAAATTTAGGGCTCTAAAATTACTCCTATATTGGAATTTACCCATGGAGCAAATAGACATTATACTCCCATAGGAGTATAAAATCTTTTGGGTTCTTATTTTATATTCAAGTACCCCCCTCCTCTCTCTCTCCCTCTCTATATATATTATATATATCTCGAAATTTTCTCTGTATGAAAGTGTAAGTCAGCAAGTTTTACCTAGGCCTTATCTAAGCCACACAAACCTATTTACCCAAAAAAAAAAACACACACCTACCCGTATCGGCTTGCTCATTTTATGAAAATGTCAAAAAGTTTTTTATATTTACAAGGTAAAAGACTATGTAGCATGCTCCCTCGAGAGCATAGTGTATACACGCCCACTGGAAAATTTCTTGGTATGAAGTGTTTTCTCGATCTAAAATTTTGGTATCTATTTTAAAATCACCAAAGAAGTATTTTCAATAAAAAAAATTTTGAGATCCAATTTAAAATTACCAAATGAGTGTTTACTCTCTCTCTCTACCCAAGCACTCTTGCACGTATGTAACATGTATGATCTAAAATGAGATAAATGGCCACTGGTTGGAAATGTTATGTTTCAACTAATCCATATATTTGTCTCAAAACTATTTATTAATAGCTCAAAACAAAGAAAATGGGGCTCTTCACTATTGGATCCACCGGGATCCGGATTTGGATCTGAAAAGTATACATGCAATTTAGATCTGGACCCAATTGGATCCAAAATATTTGAATCTGGATCTGGATCTGGATCAAAGAAGTATACATGGGACTTGGATCTGGATCCAGAACCTATCATATCCAAAAAAATTATTTTATATCTATAAAAAATGTATAACAAATATATATATATATTTTAATATGGTCAGATCCAGATTGGATCCACCTGTACCTGTATTTTAATCAAATTACTATTCGGATCCGGATCCAACCTGTCGAATCCCATCTCCCATCTGGATAGGGTCTGAAATTCGGGTTTCGAATCCAAAGCAGAAAAATTCTCACCCCTAATTAAATAAAAACCCAATCCAGCTTGGGAACCATCTGAGTCAGACCGGGCGGGAATGAGGCTTGGTGACTTTGAGCCCAAGTTCGACTTCTGAAACATTGTTGTCAGCACCATCCTAACCCCCTCCTCGACATCGTGCACTACAATTTCCATGCCTACATCTTCTCATATAATCCAGACACCACCCTAACGTTCTCTAATTTGCTATGGCAAACACAGGAGGCCTACATTGTCCCCCACACCAAGATCGACCCTGTCCCCAGCAACAAGCTGCTCAGCCCCATTGTCTTCCATGACGGCCGCCTCGTTCAGCGTCCCACCCCGCTCCTCGCCCTCCTCACATTCCTTTGGCTCCCGATCGCTTTCCCCCTATCTCTTCTGAGAGTCTATCTGAACATCCCGCTTCCAGAGCGTATTGTCCGATACAATTACAAGATCCTTGGAATTAACCTAATTGTCAAGGGCCACCCTCCTCTGCCCCCTTCCCCTGCCTCCCCCGGGGCACTCCTGGTGTGCGATCACCGCACAGTTCTTGATCCGGTGGTCATCGCGGTTGCCTTAGGCCGCAAAGTTAGCTGTGTGACATATTCGATCTCAAAATTCTCAGAATTGATCTCTCCAATCAAGGCTGTGGCACTCTCTCGAGAGCGCGACCGAGATGCTGCCCACATCAAGCGCCTGCTTGAGGAGGGTGATCTTGTCATTTGCCCCGAGGGGACTACATGTCGTGAGCCTTTCTTGCTTCGGTTTAGTGCACTTTTTGCCGAGCTTGCGGACCGGATTGTCCCTGTGGCTGTTACCACTAAGCAAAGTATCTTCCATGGAACAACTGTGAGGGGCTATAAGGTTATGGATCCTTACTTCTTCTTCATGAATCCTATGCCTACTTATGAGATTACATTCTTGAACCAGTTGCCTCCTGAGCTCACAGTTAAGGGAGGGAGGTCAGCCATCGAGGTCGCCAACTATATACAAAGGGTGCTTGCAGGGACACTAGGGTTTGAGTGCACTACGTTTACAAGGAGGGACAAGTATCAAATGCTTGCCGGCACGGATGGGTGCGTGCCTGATACTAATAAGCAGGCAAATGGGGAGGAGAAGGAGAAGGCGGCATGTAATGGCGTTAGAGGAGCTCAAAATTAGGCTTCTGAGGTGGCCGTGGAGGTGGCAGCGGTGATGGTGGTGTTTATAGTTGATTTATTCTGGTGCTTTAAATATAAGTGTTTGTTTGTTAAGATACATGATGAACTGCTATATATAAATGATATGATATATACAATGGTTTTCATAGATTTTTGGGGTCTTGGATACCCTTCCTATCTTCTTTTTTCTTTTGATTTTCTTGGGGGCAAGGAGAGGGGCATTAATGGGTTAAATAGGCTGATCAAATACTTATATATGAATTATTGATTTCATTTGTTTGAATGCAAATCTCTATGTGTTTTAATCAGGAAAAGTATATGGAGAAAATGAATCATCTGAAGAAATATTTTCCATTTTATCATGAAGCTTGTGCAATGTTATTTGTTGAATCATTTGTTGGATTCTAAACATACAGTAATCAGCAGTTTCCTCTAACAAAATAAGTTGATCTTGCTCAAGCCTCATACCATAATGGTGTAATTCTTATGTGTACATAGGCTGAGGAATTCACCTCTAGCTTGTCCTTAAAAGATATTTTTGACCAATTTTCCTGCCTTTCTATAAGAGGATCGTATGTTATGAGACTATTTATTTTTGGTGCAAGAGCTCACAATCTCTTTTAATCATTGGATGTAAATCCTATAGATGAAAGTGTGTCACAGCATTCGAAAAATTTTGTTCCGGATTTTGTATCTAAACAATGACATTTTAACAGTTAATCATAATTATAACCTCCTTGTATCAAAAGTAAGTAATCTCACTGTATACATTTCTTTCTATAAGGGGCTGCACATTTAGTTTTATTGAGAAGGTCACCAAATGGATTGAGCCCTTAATCTCCACCACATCTTCGATGGATCATGGCTCACTTTTCTCTTTCTTTCTTTTTTTATTTTTTATTTCTCCTAATTCATGTTAACAGTGAGTATGGAGGGTGGGACGTTGCGTTCAGGCATCCATCCCCGTAACCACCGATGCCAACCCCATTCCCATGCCTGGCTTCTTTCATGGAGGTTTAGGGATAAAACAAGCTGATATGCTCTCCCCTTCTTCATGATTGTCCCTTGAGCTCTCAGAGCCTTATGTGCATTCTCTCCATTCCTAAAGACCTCATTCTGAGGGGTCCAAGCGGCCCGGGAACAGCCAGCCTAAGTAGATCGAGGCTCGGCTTGTTAAGTTAACAGGCCCAAAATAGGGTCCTACCTAGCCTAATGGGCTATCGAGGGACTAAAACCGATTGACCTTCGAGACCCTATAGGCTTATTTTCAACCTATTAATAGAAAAATCATATAAAGTAGGGCCTGGCCTGTTAAGCTAACGGACGCCTAGGGTTGAAAATGGATTAGATCGGGTCCAGAACGACCAGGATCCAGATTCATATTCAAAAAGTTTACATGGGATCTAGATGTAGATTCAAATCTAATTAGATCCAGAATATTGGGATCTGAATCTAGATGTGAATCTGAATAGTATACATGGGCTCCAAATCCTGATATGGATTTGATTGGATCCAAAAAATTTATTTTATATCTATTAAATAATATATAACAAAAAATGCTATATAACATATATGTATATAATATATTTTACAATTGGGTCAGATCCGGATCGAATCCACCTGTACCTTGACCCAATCCGAATTACTATGCAGAACCAAAATTTAGATCCAGATCCGACTTCAAACCTTCAATTGATTCTTGGATTCCGATAGGATCTAAAATTTGGGTCGAATCCAAACCAGGTAAATTCTCAGCCCAACATACGCCGATGTCCAAGCTCAGCCCGCCTAACGGGTCCTATGAAGGAGACCGAGCAGGGTCCCTATCAGGCCAGGCCCTTAAGACCAGACAAGCTGACCTGGCGCATTTACACCCTCACTCCAAAACAATATTTTTGGCTACCTCACCTTTAACGCATTGATGATGCTGCTGATACTCTTTAACACCATTACAAATTCTTCTTATAACATCCTTGTGGGAGCACACTGTATGACTACTCTCTGAGGTAAAAGAGTTATTGGGAACGATTTCTTTTCTAAAATTTTAAGATTCACTTTAGAATCACCAAGTGAGTATTGCATGAACATGGCTGAGGTTTATATACGGTGTTCTCCTTATGCAATGGAAGGCGCACCTTTAAATTTTGCATGGAGATACAGTTCTCGCATTGGAAACATTTTGATGGCTTGAAAATTTATTTTAATCGCTAGTTATGAAGCTTAAAATTGTAAAATTGGTACAGATCGAGTAAATCTATAAATATTTGAAAATCTTGCAAATAGATGAGCTAGATAACTTATTACAAGATGTGTTATTTTTACGACATGAAATTCTTCTGTTTTTTTCGTCTCCATATATCTCAAGGTTTTTTAACATCATAACGCTTTCTAGAGAATTTTTGAAATGTACCCTCTTTTTTTAACTTTATTTTTTGAAGTGCACTTCACTTTTTATGGGTAAATATTTTTTTTGGGTAAATAGTGCACCTTACATAAATAAGTATAAAATTGGCACCTTGTATAATCCTTTTCATGTATTTATATCAAATTTAGTCAATGTTGTTGGGTTTGGTGATAGCCAAATCACTATACCCATATTTTTTTATAAAGACTAAATGTATTATGGGAAATATAAAATAGATTTTTTTGGGAAGCAAAGAAGTGATATCTTTATAAGAGAGTGAAGGTAGACATAATATCCATCTTTTGAGGATCACTCTTTTGGGGGTTATGGGAATGGATCTCCAAAGATGGAAATTGGTTTTCAAGAGAAAGAGACATGGACTCCGAGAAAGATGTAGTATTTCCATGAGTTTTGGGTTGGTTAAGGCTTTCACTTCTAGAGAGAGAAAGTCTCTTGGTTGCTCTCGAGGTTATCTTTTCGGTAATGGTATTGCAGTAGGAAAGAAGATATTGATCGACGGTGTTGCTCGATCAGGAGAACAGGTTTAGAAAGGAAAATCGGTGATAGTTGTTTACTGATGTTTTGAGATAGGTATATCTCTTGTAACTCAACACTGTAATCTTCATTATGATAGTAGATTTCTAATTGCCGAAGCCGTGGATGTAGCCCTATAGGCTGAACCATATAAATGGTGTGATTTTTTTGTTTGTTTTATTTCTTGCACTCAATTTATAGTTGTATTCATCTACTTTGCATTTAGTTAATCATGTACACGATCTTGGGCAGGATCTCGTTATTTGGGGTTCCTAGTTCCGCAAGCTAAGGGTTCCCGAGAACCCTACAATTGGTCAGAGCATAAGATATGTATGGGGCTAAGGCTTGCATTAAGAAAACGATGAATGGTGGAATTTGATAGATATATGGTTTGAGGTGAAGAAATATAGAGGCAAAGTGTTTGTGAAAATTTCACAATAGAGACAAGTGGGAAGAAATAAAAAAATCTATTCAATAAATATTGTAAACAATTATGATAATTTTGCTATCAAGGTAGAGATTGTTGGGTTTGGTGATACGCAAATTACTATACCCATATTTTCTTATAAAGATTAAGGGTATTATGGAAAATAAAAAATGGACTTTCTTGATAAGCAAGAAAATGATATCTTTATAAGAGAGTGAATAAATACATAAAGTGATAAAACCCATCCTTTAAGGGCCACCCCTTTAGGGGTTATGGGAATGGATCTCCAAATATGGACATTGGTCTCCAAGAGAAAGATAAGTCCTCCGAGAAAGAGGTGGTATTCTCATGAGTTTTAGGTTGGCTAAGGCTTCCACTTTTAGAGAGAGAAAAGCTCTCTGTTGCTCTCGAGGTTATATTTTCGATAGCGGTATTGCAGTGCCAAAAAATGTATTGATCGACGGTGTTGTTCGGTCGGGATAACGGGTTTAGAAGGAAAGATTGATGATTGTTTTTTAATGATGTTTTGAAATAGGTATATTTCTTGTAACCCAAAACTGCAATCTTCATTATGATAGTGGATTTTTAATCGCTAAGGCCGTAGATGTAGCCCAACATGTAAATTGTATGTTGTGGTGTGATTTTTATGTTTGTTTTATCTCTCGCACTCGATTTATAGTTGTATTCATCTACTTTGTATTTAGTCAATCATATACACGATCTTGAATGAGATCTCTGTATTTGAGATTCTCGATTCCGCAAGCTAAAGGTTCTCGAAAACCCTACAAATGTATTGTATGAAATCCCAAAAAATGTGGCTTTTATTATCTAGGACCCCTTTAAGGGCCAAAAGAGGCAATCTAGTCAATCTTGTGTTTCTTGGAATCTTGACATACTTTTATTTGTCTTCCCCTCTTCTTTGGTAAGACTAATCTTCCCTTCATCTTCCCTTCTTGTTTGGTAAGACTAAAGTTGGCAAGTGGGTCAACTTCTTTACCAAATCACACATGGGTCACTGCATATTGTCTGAGGATCTCTCTCTCTTAACCTTTGGTCCAAGAAGGATGAGAAGCATAAACTTTTCTTTACCTTGTCTCATGCTCGAGTAAAATACCTGAAAGCGGCCAAACATAAAACTTTGTCAAAACTTATAATTACCTTGCAAAATTGGTGTAAGTGTTATACATAAAGTGCCAATAACACCCATACAAATATAACCAAAAATCTATGGACTATCAACGATGGGATATCTTAATCCTTCTCCATTTTAATAGTGAAGAACTAATTAAAAAAATTAATCATGTAATTTTTTTTTCCTTCGGAAAGTTCTTTCCACATGGTCTTCAAGGACTCAACTAAACACGAATATAGGAGATACCAAGTCAAGATAACGTTATTTTTCATGAAAACAACCTAGGGTTGTACCCTTATTGAGCATTTGCCAGTGAAAACAGCCTTCTGTACCAAGAAAAAGGAGGGAATTCAAATGTCGTACAGCTGGTATAACAACCATGGTCAATTACCGGTATGATTATAAAAGTAGCTTTTTTTTTTTTTTACAATGAGTAATAACACTATGAGACCCTCCGATACCTATATAAGTAGGATCCCAAATGATTACCATTAAATTATGACACAGATCTCTAGAAAAGTTATCACATGGGTGTGGGACTTGGGTGAATAGGTTTATTGATAACTTTTCTAAAGATCTGTGTCAAAATTTAATGGTGATCCTTTAAGGTCCTACTCACATAAGTGTGGGAGGGTCTCATAGTATCATTACTCTTTTACAAATGTAAAACTTAAATAGAAGGGAATTTTATCTCAACTCAAGAGTTCTATTATTTTATGGGGAAAGGTTTCTATACTTCCCCTACAGCATAGAAGATCTATGCTTCCCCTACCATCCAGCAGTCCAATCTTGATTAAGAGAGCCACTCACCGTTTGATCTTAGATTCAACGTCTCAAAGTATTTTATTTTTAGTTTTTTTTTTATATACAAATTGTATGAATATAAAATTTGGTATGTGTCATCTTTTCATTGGGTACACCTATAAAAATATTAAAAATAATTTTTTGATAAAATATAATGACCAAAATACCCCTTGAAACTTTCAAGGGTATTTTGGTCATTTTATTTTATTAGAAATATGTCTTTTATATTTTTTGATAGTACAAGTTTAATAGAGAATTCAACTTACAAAATTTGGTGTCAAAATAGTTTATAGAAACAAAAATAAAAATAAAATAGTGTAGAGACGTGACATTGTGATTGGAACAAGCTTAGCCCTCCATTTAGAATGGATAGTTGGATAAGGGAAAGTATATATCAGTTTTATGTTGTAGGAGAAGCATAAAAAGCTTGCCCTATTTGGTGTTAGAAATTTTATGTTAAAACCAAGTAAAACTTATGGACTTACCCTTTGCTCCATTTTTTCAGGAATTTTAGGTGAGGTCGTTCCTTTTCGTGTTTTTTAATTTATTTATTTATTCTAGTTTTTCTCTTGGTTTGAGGATTAAGATATAAGGCTGCTTTATTTTTTTATGGGATGTCTACAAAGAGACTTTTCATCTTTCAACCATTCAGATATCAAATCTACGTCAAAATTTTGAGATAGTTTTTCTGTCAAAAAATTTGACATAATTTCTCTCTCTAAATTTTTTGAGGGAGCTTCCCTCTAAAACTTTAAATTTGATATACTTTCTCTCTAAAAATTTTGAGATAATTTCTTTCTTTAAAGATTTATCGCTCTATAAAATTTTGAAATTCGGGATAGTTTTCTCTCTAAGACTTTTAAAATTTGATATAGTTTCTCTCTTTAAATTTTTTTTAAACAATTTCTCCATAAAAATTATAAGATATTTTTTCTCTTTAAAACTTGAAATTTAAAGGTTTCTAAAAATACTAAAACTATATCTTCCAACAAAATTTCAAGGTACCCTTTACTTATATAGTATAAACTATAAAGTGTACACCTTATACAAACTTCACCCTTAAAAAGAATAACTCATGTTCAATCATGCTCCCTAGAAGCATGGAAGGGTACGGGGAGGAACAATTGTAACCTCCATTGTCCTCCAAAATGAAAAGGTTTAGGTCACATGAGTCATGATGTTTATCCGTTTAGTCTATCATATTATGCAGAACCCTAATAATTGTACTTTGTTTAATAGAAAGGCACTTTAACTCCCACCAAAACATGAGGAGTAATCACTATCTCATGTTTCTTTGTCTGGGATTTGGTTAACTTGCCTCTCTTTTTGACTTTCTATTGACTCATGGAATGAGCAGAACTTGTAGATAAATTTTTCTACAAGGGATTGTATGAAATAAGCATAAACTATTAAAAAATATATGCAGTTTAATAAAAAATATTGCCAACATGTAGTTACTTAAATCTTAGGTCACATGAACCTTATTTTAAAACCCTAGTTGAAAATTGGTATTAGAAACTAAACCTTACGACGATATGAAAATTAGTTTCATATTTTATAATGAAATTTGAACTAAAAATAGAATAGATTTGGCAGATATGTGAATACTAAAAAATGAGTCAAAACATTATGTTATAAGATACATTACACGGCTTTGAAGCCTTGTTTTTTTTTAAAACTACAATTGTTGAGATCGAGATGATTAATTTAAAGGTTTTTTGATATTGGAACTAGAACTTTTTATAAGATTTGAGCTGTGGATTTACTTTTTTTCATAATGCGAAAGCCTTATGCTAACCTTTTTAAACTCCTTATATTTATATACCTCCTTGAGAATTTTGCTAAAAATGCTCAAATTGCTTTTGTTCAGGGTTTGTAACTATTTTTTATATGCTGCCATTTGATAATTTGACATATTTAAGTTGTCTGGTTCAAATAACCTAAGTAACCGTGCTTGTTCTTTGTTCCAATTTGAAATCATGATTTTTCACTAAAAATCTTGTTCCGGGCTTGAAAACCAAAACAAGAGGGGCCATTTAGTAATTTAAGTGTACTTAAGTTACCCAAACCAAATGATATAAATACCTCTATTCTAAGTTTTAAAGCTCCAACTAGATTTTTTTAATGAAAATTATGTTTTAGCTTGAAATAAGCTCTAAGATCATTTGGTTCAAGAAACTTATGTTGGCAAGTTACCAAAATGTCGTCGCATGTCATCCTAAACTTGAAACAAGGGCAATTTAGGTATTTTCTAACAATGTAATTATGGATGCATCCAAATGAAATGATTTAATTAAGAAACCATTTTATTGTTGATTTAATTGAGTTAACATGTTCATTGATTTTTTAACATGGTTTGACAATGTTATTGGTATTTGCCATGGGAAAATTAAAACATAAATCCTTGTTTTCTTTCATAATTAAAAAGTAATCCCAATGTTTATTTTTTGTTTTTGGCCAAAATAACCCTAATCCGATACTTCATTTAGGAAACCGTTTTGTATTCTAAAACTCTGCCCAACACTTAAAAAGTACCAAACAGAATCCTCTACAGTTAGCTTTTTTTTTTTTGCAGAAGTCAAGTGTGGTACTGGAAAATGTGGGCCGGAACTAGATATATGGGCCTGTTTATTTTTTTTTAAATTTTTTTGTTAGTAGCTTATTAGGTACACGAATGATGATGAAAATGCGATCATGCACTTAAAGCACTGGACTGGTTTGGAGCAAACCGTTCAATGGAGATCGGTCATATACTAGAAGTATTGAACCCACAATAATATAAAATTTGTTTGATACTTCAAGTGTCAGATCGAGTTTTAGAAAAAAAAAAAAAAGACTGCGTACTACTTCACTAGGTTGTTTTGGAAAAGAAAATTGAGAACAAAAGTGGTACAACGTAAATGCATTTTAGTCATGACAAATAAATAGTTAATTTATTGCATAATAAATAAAATAATATCCAATTTCGATCCTTCCGATGGGGCATTGACGTATGGGGAAAAAAAAGGATGGAGTTTCTATTAGACTTGCTTTATGAAAACATAGTAAACCGCACCTCAATCCTCATCGAGAAAGCATCGAAAATCTTTATAATAGCTCTAAAATCAATTTTCAATACCAATTATAAAGTTTGAAGCTAAAAAATAGTACAAATCTTGTGGATCCATGACTACTTATTCTTAAGGTGAAATAAACGGTCTTAGATAATTTGTTACCATATATGTACTATTCTTAAGGCTTAAATTTTTTTTTTTCTTTTTCCTATTTCACGATCATAATGGTGAAAGCCGAGATGATCAAGGTTTTCCAACACCAAAATTGCAATTTCTGGTGACTTTGGAGGTGAATGGTTATTTGTTTTGATAAGGCTGCAGCGCTACCAAACCATTTTCCTAAATGGGTAATTTTGATCTAAATTTGCAGCATAACCGCAAAATTCTAGCAACAATGGGAGTCACAAAAGAATAACTCTTCTTTCTCTCTCCAGAACACCGGAATCACACAAGCACAGCTCTCTCTGACGACAATGGAAGCCTCAGTTGAGAATGAGTTGAGGTCTTAGTGGTAGCTGAACTTCATTTACCGGTTTAGGTTTTCATTCTTATTTATATTTATACATTAGACAATTACTAATTGTTTTTAAAACGAAAAGGGGGTCTTATTGATGATTTATATATATAAAAAAAAAACTATGATGAAAGCCATAATAGAAAAGCTCACTCTCTTTAAAAAACAATGGATGTAAAATCGCTTGATCCGACCTGAGAATCAATTACTCGTTCTGGTTCTATATATATATATATAGGAAAACGATTAAATCTTAAAGAAAATCGACAATTATGCATAGTAAAACAATAATTCTCTACGATATAACAGTAATCGGGACAACTTTTTTGCCCATTCATCTATTGTTTTTTTTGTACAGTAAATAGTGATCCAAACTGCCAATTTTTTAGGTGACTTATCCGGATCACCGATCTGTTTTTTAAATCACTTAATGTCACACAAGAATAGCTCTCTCTCTTAAAACAGGGAAATTTTTCAAATTTTCATTCCCATAACAATTTGATCGCATATCCAAAAACCACACAAGAAATCACAATCTTTACATACTGTATATGATCACAAAGCAAGGAAGCAAAGCTCTTGGGTTGAACACCAACAACTCCTCCAATCCACTACTATCACCACAACCTCCTGCAACTGAATCAAACCCCTCTTTCTCACTCATCCCTTCATCATAAGCAATGCGCCCAGCTATCACCCTACAAACCAACATGGCCCTCTTCACATTCATGAAAGAGAATTCTCTCTCTAGATCTGCAGGTATAGACCCATGAGCCTTATAACTACTGGAATAACAGGAAATCCCATCAAGTTTAGAGGAAAACCCATGTCTTATAATCCCACAGAGACTGCAATAATGGTGATTACAGAGAGAACAAGCCTCATTCAAGCCAAGAGAGCAAGTGAAGGTGCAGCAATGGAACCTCAAAACCTCGTTGCCGTCAGCTACGCATCGGGCCTGCTTGTGCACGCTGGACTTCAAGGCTGTCGCTTTGATGGTTTCTCTGTATTCTTCAAACTTGGCGAGGATCTTCAGGCTGTTGTTGATCTTGAGAATTCTCTGTATATCGGGGAGTTTCTCTCTCTTCAACCAACTGGTTTGGAATATGATCTTGACTATGTTTTTCGCCGTGTCACGGTCCGTCAGCTCCGAGACAGCGTGCTTGACGGCTTGGTGGAGCTCCAGAAGTTGGGGTTTGTTGAAGATTTCACCACAAATTGAGCAGGGGATTAGTGCAATCCTGTTAGAGAGAGAAAGCAGGGGATGGGGCTCGAGATCGTTGCAGGAATCATGACATGGTTTCTTGTGAGGTGGGGTGGAGAGAGAAAGAGTGTTGTCACGAGAAGTTGGGGTAGAAAGAGAAACCGTGGCGTGCGATGAGAGAGAGGAAGCTTGAGAGAGCCTGGTTGATGATCCGGGTGGGGTTCGAGGTCTCGAAAGGGAGCCATTACTGGAGCTTGAAGCACTATGGCAAGAGAAGAGTTTCTTCATAAAAGACCATGAAGAGGTAACCAATTTCTTGGGGTTTGTTGCAGAGGAAGAGTGCTTTCTTTTCTCTGGAATCGGAGGATTTGAGGTGGATTTAAAGCAGTGGCTTGAGATGAATAAGCAGAAGCAGAAATGAAAGAGGATGAGAGAGAGATGGCGCAGAGAGCCGAAAAATGAGCCTAAGGTCTCCATGGATCAAAACTGGTTTAGCTCAGATGCACCCATAGGAGAAGCTCCTACTCTGTCGAAGGGGAGCAGGTCTCTCTCACACACAATGACTCAGTACCTCTCTCTAACTCTCTCTTTCTCTCTCCTGCTACTGATTGAGAAGAGTGGGTTTCTCTCTCTTACTCTGCTAATCTCTGAGTGGTCTCTCTCCTCTTCCTGCTCTGTTAGTGACTCTCTCTTCCTCTTCTCTCTCTCTTCTCTGAGCTTGTGGCTGAGAAGGTGGGTTTCTCTCTCTTACTCGGAATAAGGAGAGTAGCTCTCTCTCTCTCTCTCTACCCTGCTCTACACCCGAGCAAATAAATGGAGTCTCTCCTCCCTTCTTCTTTGTGAGCTTTGAAGAGAGAGAGAGAGAGAGAGAGGAAGACGACGATGGCGCGAAAAGAAGAGGGTGGGACCTCGGAAGAAATAAAAGAGAGAGAGAGAGAGAGAGGCGTCGGTGGGGGGTGTTGGGATTGCAGGTGGGACCTTCCAATCTTCTCTCCCTTCAAGAAAAATTCTTTGCTCCCCTCACTCCTTTTCTCTCCATTAATGAAATGGAAAAGCTCCAATTGTGCTTTGTGGCTTCAAGCCCTAAAGAAGAGAGAGAGAGAGAGTTCATGAAAGAAACTTTAGAGCTAGATGGTTAGCGGTTCGCAGTAGCGTCTTAATGATCTGATCCACCAATGATTCAGTTCGGCCATGTCTTGACGAAATTGCTGATTGCTGTCTAGCTGGTTCTAACTTTACATACCATATTCGCAACTCTTTCAATGGCTTATTCACCATAATAAAAAAAAAAAATCTCCTTTCTTAGTGACTTTAGTCAAAACCAATGTTTCAAAACCTGGGAATTTTCAATCTGGACCGCCGATCTGAATCGGGAGCCAGTCAGGCCCGAACTAATTTTAGAAACCCCACTTTTAGTATTTTTTATTATTTGCTGGATCACCCATTCAAACTGAACCAAATCGATTTGGATTAATGATCCGCTGATCCAACATGGATGTGCTACGGATCCGAGTTTTGAGATACTGGTCAAAACAAAGTATCAATATATAACATAGCCCCAACTTTCCATTTTTCAAAGTTCCAATTGAGAGAGAGAGAGGGGTTTACCGACCAATGTTATCAAATTTGCTTCTCTTCCTTTTGAACTGTCACGGTGTTTGGCTTTAGGCCCAAAAACCAAAATGAAGAGAACTATTGTCTCACTAAAATGAATATATCAGTAAAAATTTAAAGTAGCCCCTATATACATAAAATTTGGCCATAAAATATACAAGTTTGTTAAAATAAAACTCATAATATTCATAATTTTATCATATGCTCCTCTATATAGGAAAAGTTTGCAATAGTGTAGTTATATATCTTTTACATTTTCTCTTTTTTTTTTAGCCTAAAAGTTCACCTAAATGCTTACGCCGAACCTTTCAAAGAACTGAAGTGTTCTCTTTTTATGTCTAAAACAAAGAGCAGTCCGAAACGAATCCGATAACATCGTTACCAACAGCTGCACACAAGAAGGAAGGACTTAGAGATGTTGCTGAAGAAAGAAGCAACTTTGGTTATGATGTATTTTTTCACTGCGAACATTCAAAATGGGTTTGTGTGAAAATTCACTTGTATCAATTTGTATTAGAAACTGTCCATGCGTGAAGAGTCAGTCATTGTGAGATACAATAGTGAAACGGATTTTGTACGCTGGTTGCTCATGCAGTCACCCTGGTTTTCAGAAGATTCAAGACCCGAAGCGTATCTTAAATCACTGTGAATCTATTTCAACCTTAGATCCATGAATTTGGAGCTCCAAAAATAGTGCATTGCTTATTATCTTTGAAGAATTAGAATGAATGATCCAAAAAGAATATTAAATAGATGATTTCTACCACATAATACAGTTTTTTATTAAATTCATGATTATGGTAATCTAGATAATACACCTACAAATTTCTAGATCCAAAATCCTTCTCGACGATGGATCTTAGGAAGGTGGACGCACTTTAACTTGTGCCATCTAACACACCTAAACTCTGCTCTATAATATTCATAATGATCTTTTCATTACAAGTCTATCTTATCATCCCCCATTTGTTTTTTTGAAGGTTAACTAGGAAGTTCGTATTACCATATTCAAGATCACTCTTTATCACTCGAAATACCTCATTTAGAAGTTCATTTGTTCCGTAATTTAGACCTCAATATATTTATTTATCTCACTTTGGGTCAACAATGATGAAATTATATTTCTCATCTTTCACATAGAATCTTTCTTCAAGAGTCAACACCAAGAAGGAGAAAACAAAAATACCAACAATGTAATTAGAGAGAGAAGGACTTCTAAGAGAGACCTGGTGATGCAAATAAAAAAAGTAATTTTATATTTTATATTTTTTTAAGACTTAAAAAATATGTTATTTGAATTTTTATTTTTTTTAGTGTTATTTTTGTCTTTTTTTAGTTGTAGATATTCAAGGAGTAGAATTGGAAGTGTTGTTTTTTTTAATATATATATATATATATATATATATATATATATGAACAAGGAGTAGCATGATTGGGTTAGTTATGATAATGTTAGATGTATTTTAAGAGATAAAAGAGAGAGATAGAGTTTAGTTTGTTATTTTTATTTATTATTCCTTTTAAGTTTATATTTACAGGGAAGAGGTCTTTTGGTGTACAGAAAGGTCACTGGAAAATAAAAAAGAGTTTGATCTTCTTAAAAGATCTTCAAGTGGACCCTTTTGCAAACTCATAGACAGAGTACAATCTCTAAATCTTTTTAATTTTATTTTTTATTCTATATATTAGGTATAATTTTTCAACCTTTCTTATTTTAATATTTATTCCATTCATTATTTTTCTCTAAATCATAAGGTAGCACTAAGAAATGGTGATGCCACAGAAAACAGTGTGTGCTGTTCATTTGCAGGCTTTCTGCCTAGTTGCTTTGGGGCAAAAGCTTTCCCAAATCATAAACATTTTTCTCTTTAAAATGAGAAAAGATGGGAGGGCCACAATGGACACGGTTTGAGCAGGGCCCCATTGTCGGTAGGTTAGTCCCATAATATATAGAGAATAGAAAAGTTTTCCATAGCATAGTAAAATAAAATGAGTAAAGCTTCTCAAAGGACTCTTTAAAGAGGGTACCCACAAAGTAAAAATACTCTCTAAAGTTTCTCCAAGAACCCTTTAAAGAGTGCACCCACAAAGTAAAAATACTCTCTCTCTCTCTTCAAAAATCATAATCTCTCTCCTATGAATGTGTCTGGAGTTCTGAATGCTGTTGATACTTGGGTGACACCAACACACATGTCGAAACCTCTAAAAACCGATACAATGAATATCCAATACCATATATGTGTCTTGAGATAAGTTTACTTGAGATTGGTGTTTCTTATTTAGCAATGTCATTTTTCATGGATATTATTTTCTTAATTTTATTTTTTTACATGGAATTTACTTAAGCCATTGTTCCAATAAAAGGATCATTTCTTATGTCATGTAAAACTTCCACTGTTTCTCTCTCCAAATTGTGAATCTCCATTTGGCTGCTTCTTCAACACTTCCCTTCTCTCTGTCTTTATCACACTCTCTCTCTCTCTCAGGACAGCTTTATCTTGACTGAAGCCAATCTGGTGTAAAGCCATTTTCCACTAAAAAGAAACCCATACTTTTTTGCCATATTACTATTTCCCTCAATGAGATATATATAGGGATCTCTCTCATATTCATTGTTTCACACAGGGATGTAACGTGTGAACTACGAGCATGCACAAGAAACTCCTGGGAAAAGGGAGAATATGAAAACTGAAAGAAAGATCTATGTCACCTTCTACCTTGAGGAATATTTTTTTTTTTTTTTCACTTTTTTTTTTTGGCAAAAAATCACTTGCATGTGGTCTTTATTATAATAAGATAAATTTCAAAAAAAAATCAACATAACAATAAAATCAAGATCTTAACAACTTGATATCATTGAAACAACTATGCACTATGATTGATAATAAAAGATAAGATTGTAAGAAACAAAAGGCCGGAGATTACTTCAACAGGGCTTATTACACCGCACATCGAGTCACCACCATCCGATGGTGTGAGATCAACGGTCTAGCTTCAATCTCAAACCGGAAAATCAAATTTCGGCCAATCCACACCAATAGAACATGAATCCTTTTGATCACAAACTCAAACCCTAAGTGAATTCTCTTAGCAACCTAGTTTGAGAGAGATTGATTCTTTTTTTTTTTGTTAAACCCTAAAACCGTTAGTAATAAATCCATATTTGAGAGATAGGAGAGAGAAGAACTCCATAACCTAAACCCTTAGGTTCTTTTACAATGTGGGAGAGAGAGGTCAAACATGAGAGAGAGAAACTTTCTTAAGAGAGAGATAAAAAGAGAAGGTGTAGAGATTTTGGGTAGAGACAATCCATTTTTATAGGCTTGAATAAAATTAGGATTTCTTAGGGTTTTCCTTGGCTTGTCTCTTCGAGATTGAACATATACTGTCGATCAAGGGTGACTTATAAGGTAAGAGATCTGAGTCATCCATTCCATAGATGACCCATCAATATTACGGAAGATGCATGGACCATTATCCCCCTTTCCTTAAGTATTTTCCCATCAATAGAAATTAGATAAATTAAATCTAATTAAAATATTATGCATTCCATAATCTTTCACAAAATATTCTAAAGATATATCAAGTTAATATACACTTTCAATATTTGGTCAAAATATTTCTTATCTTATTTGACCACATGCCATAACATAATATTACCAAAACATGAAATAACTTAAACTCCAAGAAAGAATCCAATGGGTGGAGTGTGCCACTCATGTGTGGCACATGTGGGCCGTATCCACTTGACACATGGTGGGCCCATGTGCACTATGGGCCCCTCCATAATATTTTATATTATTTTAAATTATCAAAAAAATATATAAAATATTATTTGAATTTTATAATTTTGTAAAATCAATATCTTTATTTTTATTAGTCCAAAAAAATTATAAATAAAATATCAAATGACTCATAAATATTCAAATAATAATTCTAAAATAATTTCTATCATAAAACAAACATAATTAAATTAACTTGATAGGAAATGGATCCATATGGTTAAAGAATTTAATCTGCAATCATAA